GGGGGCGGGAGAACCGCGGCCTCCCCCTTGTTTCGTAGCGTGACGGGCTCTTCAGAGCAGGTGCTGGCCTTCCTGTTCCTTAATTAATTTAGTGAAGCCTGCTAGTTTGCCAGGTTTAGATGAGTCTCAAAAGTGGTGTTTTTTTTTTCCCCCTTCCAAAATACACCCATGAGTTGAGGTGAATATTAATTCTGTGCAGTCGAATCAGCTGCCTGGAGCACAGAGAGTTTCCGGCCTGCTCCGGGAAACAGCTGGCGAGCTCCAGCCCTCTGGATGCTGCCAAGCAGGGTATTCCCGAAGGGACATGGCGATAACTTTTCCTCTTAGGCAGGAGATTGTCCATATTTACTTATTAAAAAAAAAAATCTTTATTCTTCACGATGCTTGATGTGTGCAGCCAATGCACAGCCCCCCCGAGCCTAAACCCGAGGCCGTGTTTTGGACTTGCAGTGACATTGGTTGTCAGTGAAATTCTCTGGCTACCTTAAGAGGACTGCCCCCCTTGGCAGAGGGGAAAAATTACTCCTTTCCTTTTCGTCCTGCTTCCTTTGCTGCCTTTTCTTGATGTCTGCCGGCTTGTCCTTCTTACCTCCTCGCTTGTGCTGCTTTGCAGGAGGCCTGTCTGTCTGTAAAGTTCTGTATAGAGGCTCCTCCAGCTTAGGAAACTTCTACCTTTACCACCTGGTAAACCATCCTGGTAAAACACCAGGGAACATGTTTGCTTGTAACATGGAATAAACTCATCAAAATCTCTCAGAAATCCCGCTCTCCATGCTTTACAGGTGGGAGCTAAGAATCACTTATTTTCAAATGGATTGATGGCAGTTAAGCCTTGCACAAAACGCACGCGGATGTAATGCTTCCCTTAGCAAGGAGAATGTGGGTGTTGCTGAAAGTAAAGCATACTGGTGTCAGCTAACTATGTTCCAAATCTTCCAAGCAACCTTAAGTGCAGATGATCTAATGATGCTCCCTCCCCCTGTCTGCGGGTGGGGATATACACTGAATATTTTTGACAGCGATCTTAATTTGTGACAGCAATCTAAAAATATAACACTTTTCAACCAAATT